CCGGGCGGCTGTGAGGACCCAAGGCGGTCAGGCACTAAGCTGCGGAAGGGTTTGGGGTCATACTTCTACATGCTGAACAGCGGCACATGCCCAGCGCTAGAACGCCGAGCTCGGGAGGCATCTGCAGGGCCAACGGCTAGGAGGCCGGTCAAGTCCGTTAGGACAGCCCTGTCTCAGCAGAGCCCTCCTCCCTCTTTCCTCCTTCTAGAAGCCAAAAAGCCGGGGCTGTTCCTGACTCTCATTCCCTCATAAGCATGGATCAGCAAAGCCCCCGTCTCTTCTCCAGACAGCAGCCACAGCAAGCTTTCTGATTTCCACCCGATGCTCCTCCGCCCCAGGTCACCACAGTCCTCCAGTGCCTGCTTCTGAATGTTACTTGCAGTCAAAGCGTGGCAGTCCGTACCCTGACCCCAAGCGACAAGGCCGCCTGTCCTAGCCCTCGCTGGCCGCACTCCCTTCTCTCACGCCCAGGACAGCCACACCGCAAGCTGACCGGACACCTTCCTGCCGAGTCCTTGAACTAGCCATGTCCCTGGCGCCCCGCCCCTAGAGGTCACCTCTTCCAGCCTCTTCAGACATGCCCTCCCTCTGTACCGCTTTATTCTCCTCGGCAGCATGTTCTGGAATCTGACGTAGGATACATTTCTCACTTCTCGTCTCCCCAGCCCGCGAGAATGCAAGTCTCTGGAAGGCAGGGACCGCATCAGTCTGGGTCACTGCTGGCCCAGCACCAGCTCAGAGCCGGCACACAGGAAACGCCGGTGGGTGGAGGGGTGGGTGAGTTCAGACAGCAGGAGGGGACGCATCAGAGGAAATCCAGGCTCTAGAGAAAAACCGCTAGCCTGGAAGATGCTGGTGACGTACAGCAAGTGAATTGGCGGTTTTTGGGGAGACGGTGCAGGGCAGTGATGGGAAGCAGAGTGAGAAAGCCAGGCCTCACCCCTCTTATCCACAGTCCCGAAAAATGCCCAGGAGGGTTGTTTTAAGAAATCCAAGGGTGAGGGGCGCCTGGGTGGCTTAGTCGGTTAAGCGTCCGACTTTCGCTTAGGTCATGATCTCGCGGTTCGTGGGTTCGAGCCCCGCGTCGGGCTCTGTGCAGACTGCCAGCTCAGAGCCTGGAGCCTGTTTCAGTCTGTGACTCCCTCTCTCTCTGACCCTCCCCTGCTCACGCTGTCTCTCTCTCCTAGAAATAAATAAAAAAAAAAAAAAAAAAAAAAAAAGAAATCCAAGGGTGATCGGGAGGGGAGAAGGTGTGTAGCAGGAACAAGTGTCCGTAACCATCAGGGGACAGAGCTGGGGGCGAAGAGTTGATCCAGTGATTTCTCTTTTTAATGTCCTTGCCACTGTTCGATTTCCTCTCCAAGGGGCATATATTACTTCAACACAGATACAAAAAGATTGTTAAAAAAGAGTCTTTTAAGAGCTGAGAAAATCCCCCAACAGCCCCCAGATCAGCGGCCTGTGAGCTCTGTCCTACTCCCCACCCCCAAAGGATACTCGCGCAGAAAACAGTACTTGAAGTAAATACACCCAAATGTTAACGGTGGTTGTCCCTAGGGGTGACTTCAATTCTCTCCTTCAAAATTACCGGAATATTCCAGATTGTGTAAAATGGGCATAAACGACTTCTACAGATATTCGCTTAAACCACATCAAATTGTCAGTATTCAATCACGTCTGGCTCTAAAAATGGTGATTTCATGTGATTCAACCCGATAGAAAAAAAAAATTATTTTAAAAAAAGTACGGGGCTGCTTTCAAGATCAATAAAACTATTCCTATCTTTTGACTTCAGTTATTTTATTTCTTTGGACTCTTTAGGAGAGAATCCAAAATGCAGATATAGATTTACATATGAAGTGTTCATGGCGGGGTAACTCACAATGGCAAAAGCTGGGGGGAAAAATCTGAATGCTTAAAAATCAGGGAGTCGAGGGAACGCTACAGAGATGTTTTCACCCGTGTTTGGAAGACCTTCCAGTGACATGGTGCAATTTAATGTGAAGGAGAAAAGAAGCAAGATCCATGATCACCACTGAGACAGTGTTACCTCTACTCTGTAAAACAATGCAGTATATTTGCTCCCTGTGTTCACGGCAGTATTATTCATAACAGCTAAGACATGGAGGCGACCAAAGCATCTGCTGAGAGATGAGTGGATCAGCAAAGCATGGTGTATCCTTACAACACTATTATTTAGACTCAAAAAGGAAGGCAATTCAGACACAGGCTACAACATGCATGAACTCGCTGAGGACATCATGTGGAGTGCAGTAAGCTAGCTGCAGAAAGCCCACTGCCATATGATTCCACTTATATGAAGAGTCAGAATCACAGAGACGCAGAGCAGAGCTGTGGTCACCAGGGGCCAGGGAGAGGGGATTCAGGGAGTTCATTAGTGTCTAGTCTCGGTTTTGCAAGATGAAAAGAGTCTTGGAGGAGGGGGGTGGTGAGGGCTGCACAGCCGTGCGTATGGATATTAATACCACTCGACTGTGCACTTAACGATGGTTAAGATGGTAAATTTTATGTTAAGGGCAGTTTGCCACAAGAAAAGAATTAGGGAAAAGATGCATCAAGGAGAGAGGGAGGGAAAAGATCTTCAAGGCAGCGTGGCACGGCGAGAGAATGTCCGTGCGGGGGCTGGGCCTGCCTGCTGTCTGGGTGCCTGCTGGTTGCGGGGTCGGGAGCCTGACTGCCGGGGCCTCACTGGGATAAGAGCCTGGGAGACCGTGGGGGGCAGGGCCCAGCACACAGCAGGGTGCTGCCGGCACGCATGGGCATGGGGTTTCGAGCCCCGTTTTCTTTCTTACACTTTCCTGGGTTTTCCAGAATTTCCACAGTGAATATTTAAAGTCAGGGGGGAAAAAAAGTCTACTCATTAAAAATGGTGAGGGTCACCATGAACGGACAGAAAAGACTGACAGGAGGAGGTGTTTGCAGCTCTCGTACCAACAAAGGACAGGGACCCTTTCTCAGATAATGAAACCCAGATGGCGCATAACACAAGGAAGTGACCGGCCTCACTGATAGTCGGATGGGCAGAAATGAAAACCTCTGACAATCCTGGAGACCTGGAGCCTTCGCGGCCCTCACACGGGAGGCTAGCGGGAGCGTGCACTGCTTGGTGCAGCCACAGCCGCGGCCCCCGGGATGCTGACCATGCACCTGCCCTCCGCTCCCACGCAGGGTGACTCTGAGTGTCACAAGGAGACCGACACAGGAGGCTGGCTGGCGCTCTGCTTGTGACGGAGAAAACGGTCAACAGTCTACATGGCCGTTAGCGGGAAGATAACTGAATGGGGTGTGCCCATTTAATAGAATATTAAGAGCATCTGATGGGCTCATTGTATAGCGGCCTAATAAGGGAATGAACTAAGATGAAAGGGATAACACAGATAAATCTCAAGCACGTGACAGCAACAGAAAAATAAGTGCAGAAAACACTATTCATTGGAGTGCCACTGCTATAAAGTTTGAAAACACGCAACCCAACAGAATCTCTTGTTTAGGGGTGTCTGTCTAAACGGCAGAGATGAGGGGCGCCTGGGTGGCTTAGTCGGTTAAGCGTCCGACTTTCGCTTGGGTCATGATCTCGCAGTTTGTGGGTTTGACCCCGCGTCGGGCTCTGTGCTGACTGCCAGCTCAGAGCCTGGAGCCTGTTTCAGTCTGTGACTCCCTCTCTCTCTGACCCTCCCCTGCTCACGCTGTCTCTCTCTCTCTCCTAGAAATAAAATAAAATAAAATTTAAAAAAAGCTTTAAACGGCAGAGATGAAAGGAGTCACAGCCCGCACAGGAGACCAGCACAGCATCAAGGGGCCCGGAGGTGGGAGAGACTTGCGCAGAGACCAGCTCTGCCACTTGCCACCAGGTGGGCTCTGTGCAGATTAATGTCTCTGTGCCCCAGAGTCCTCGTCTACAACGGGATATTAACAGCACACACCAGGTACTGGTACCAAAGGCCTGGACGGGTTCATACATGTAAAGAAAGAGTGGCCCTCGGAAGGCACCGGAGAGCATTTGCTGTCGTTAGTAGCATTATAAAGAACCTCAGACCTTAAAAAGGTTCACGCTGTTTGCTCAAGGCTGCGAATTTTCAAGGATCCGTCCTGGATCAGTGATCAACGATGTATGAACCTAGGTGTTTGCCGTACAGGAAAGCATGTGCCATTGGAAATGACATTAAGTATCCAGCGGCAGGGGACAGTTTGCTATGCTGTGGACTGTCGTGATCTGATGGCCGCGATAGTTCTGGATTGCTCACATGCTTATTTGCATCGCCCTCTCCGGGCAGGCAGGGACCCTACTACTTGTCCGTTCCCTCTCTGCGCAGAATCCGTGTCGGCTGAAACTAGACTGCGATTATTTGTTGCTAATGATGTTGGTTCCTTTATAGTTAGAGATCAAGAAACAGCCTCAGGGTAAACAATGTGCAGCCAGAAATGCAGTCTGGGGGGAAGGAGCAAGAAGGAGCAGTTAGGCACACCCCCTCCTCCAGGAAGCCCTCCCTGACTTCCCCAGCAATCTCTCCTGCGGGGCATGCCTCTGTTAGAGCCCACTTTTGCCACGTTTATCTGTACCCCAGACTTGGCTGATACATGTCCCAGGGCCCAACGCATAGTGTGTCCTCAACAAATGTCTCGCAAGTGGCACTCGGTTCCCTCATTTCCGGCTCAGGGCCCGACACATTGTGGGCCTCACTTCTGCAGACCCCAGATCATCTACAGGGACCTAAGATTCAAGAGGACTCTGAATCTTTGTTTTGTTCTTTGAGAACAAAACAAAACAAAAATAAAATAAAAAGGTTTTCAATAAGATATACATACTTACCTTCTAACACTCTATGTAGAATTTATACCACATTTTCATTCAGAATTAGCTAATTACCTGAGGAGATCACCATTTTGCCAGATATGATTTTAATCAATTACCCATTTTTGCGAAACTACTTTTAGCCCGTTTTCAAAGAGAGATGATCGGGTGCTCCTGACATCCTTACCTCTTCAGAGAAAGAGTCGAAGTTCTGGAGAAAATATTTCCAATGTATATGGGGGCTTAGATGAATTTTCAGTTTTCTCAAGAAATAATGATACTGGTTATCTGTGAGTTTGTAACAGAAATCCTTAAGAACTTGTCCAAAATCTGAAGCCTTTACAAACCCAGTGTCCTCTTTATCCAATGCAGAAAATGCCTACAAAAAAAGAGAGAGAAAAGGCAGATGCTACCATCCAGTTAATATTTCAAAAGTATTTTTCTTAAGTATTGCTTTCCTGACTGCGAGTGAAATTAAGTGTATTCGAGTCCTGCGTCAATTCTACATTACTGACCAAAGGCCCCTTGATTAAAACGCTGAGATGGGTAGAGAGCAGGGGCTGCGGTGTGAGAGCTTCCGGGCTTCAGAGAAGGGTCGCTTTGCTGCCTCCTATTTGGCTACAGGGAGGCAGCGGCGTGAGGAGCCCCGGCCCCTTTCACATAGGGCTTCGAAGCCACCCAAGCTCCAAGGAGGCCTGCTTGGCAGAGGACCAGAGAGGCTCCGGGGGTGAAACAGCGTGCCCGACATCTCCCCATCACGACTGCCATTGGAGGTTCAGCGATCCCACCGCGTCGGGGGGGGGGCGGGGACCTCAAGGTGCAGCTTGATGTCAGAAGCGGCCAGGAAGGGCAGTTAAGGGACCGCCCCGTCCCCGCTCCCATCAGGGCTTGGACAGGGAGGCCGCTGCCCTTTCCCGCCCTGGACCGGCGCCCGCGTGGCCTTGCCCACGGGAAGGTCCCCACTGCCACAGTCGTACTCGAGTCAAACTGAAAAAGTGCAGAAATGTGCTATAAAAAGAAAGCACATTTTTTTCCATCTGTCGGAATAAAATCATTCATTTTTATTGCACTAGGAAATCTGTATCAAGTGGTAGGTTAAGATCATTTTTTTTTTAAGGAAGAATTGAATGCACTTGCAAACCCCAAACCACATTCCCTGGTGGTTAATTCTCATCAGGGCTAATTAGGCACATCCCATCAGCCCATGGGGGTGGTGGGATGCGTGTAACCCAATCAGCCTTAAAATACTGCCTAGCTTCAAGTTTTTATTTCGCATGTGGGAATAGGACAAAGCTGTGGGTGGTGGAAAGAACCCAGGACACCCCCCTCCAACCCACTCCCTGCTCAGAAGTGGACGTTGAACTCTAGCTCTGGTTTCCTACCGTAAGACCATCACCTCCCTGAGCTTGGCTTCTGTGGTAGGAAAAGAGGGACTTGGTAACTCGTACTGTTGTGTTTTACTGTGGCCCAAAAACAGCTGTACGTGCACCTGGCATGCAGTGCGTCCCAACAAAATGTGGAGAGTGACCATAACAATGAGCCAGGCAGCCGGGCATCTGTGTTATGAGGGTGTCAGAAGGCACTGTGCCGAGGGGCGCCTGGGGGGCTCAGTTGGTTAAGCGTCCGACTTCGGCTCAGGTCGGGATCTCACAGTTCATGGGTTTGAGCCCCATGTTGGACTCTGTGCTGACAGCTCAGAGCCTGGAGCCTGTTTCGGATCCTGTGTCTCCCTCTCTCTCTGCCCCTCCCCCCTGCTCACACTCTGTCCCTCTCTCACTCTCTCTCTCTCAAAAAAAAAAAACATTAACAAAAAAAAGGAAGCCAGTGTGTTGGATGATCCATAAACTCTATAGAAATATGAGGTATTGTAACGTCATTTCAGAAACAAGAGACATCTGAGACACGTCTGCAGTGACTGGTAGAGACGCATGAGCGCGCCCGGTACTCTCTCGGCCGTCCGTCCTTGGACCTCGCCATTCCCTCTGCGCCTCCCGCCCGATGCCCTCCCTCCCTCCCTCCAATCCATCTGCTCTGTGGCCAGACTCTCGCTCTCTTGCTAAAACATCACCGCCTAGGGAGTGTTTCTCAGAAGTTACAACCATGGTCCCCCCGAGGGTTCCGCGAACCTCACTTTGAGAAATATCCTGACGGACGTTGGTGGTGCCGCTTTAAGTCAGAAAGGGGCAAAACCATGCTGCAAACGGACTTATTTAGTGTGCAGAGTGCTTTAAACATCTGAAATGTGTCCTGACGTTGAGAAATCAGGAGGTTCCAGAGCCTCTCATGAAAAACGGAAAGCTCTAGCAAAGTGGGGACAATTTTCAGCTCGGTATCGGTCAGCTGGGGCTGAGGAGAAGCTGTCCTTGCGACAGGGCCGCGTCTCCAGCCTGCAGCGGTCACCACCCGGCCCCTCTGGTCGTTTATGTGACCCCCGTCCCGTTGAACTGCCGTGCTCAAATGCTCACGGGGTGACCGTGGGCCCAGGGCCGCCTCACACATGAGCTCTGGTGCTGAAAGGGGCATGGAAGGTGGCCTGTGCGCCTTCCACGTGACCCACATGTTCAGACTAATTTGTATCTTTAGAGAATCATTAAAATAAAGACAAAAAAATCTGAAATCCTCACAGAGAACTCCTGGATGTGAAAAATGACTGCCCTCCAGCAGAAAGGTCAGGTTGGCTGACATTCTAGAACTTCCACAGGCTGGCTGGGTGGCCTTGCCTTTCTCCTTCTCTCTAATCCCTTACGCTGGGACCCAAGAGCTCACCTTGCCTCCATACACTAGGGGAATTTCTCTCGGGGGATTCCGTGAGCATGGTCCTAGGTTTTCGGGAGCATCTGTACATCCTAATATCACAAACATAACGACAGTCTTCTTGCTGCTGCTGGAGGGAAAACGAAGGTATGGCCCAGTCTCAGGGATGGCCGCCTCACCGCGTGCACGGCCACGCGCTATTTTCCAAGGACTCCAGCATGGGCCACGGCATCATCCCTACACATGCCGGGGCTCGGCACGCTCTGCAGTGTCACACAGATGTTAGCTGTCCAATGTCACGTGCTTGGGGAGCGCCTTCTCACACCTGGCCTGGCTCCTGGCGGCCTTCACAATGAGTCTTTGTGCCACCGTTGGGTCCCGGCCAACCTCTCCCAGGCCACCTCGTGCTCTGGGCCTGGGGCTCACAGGATACACTGGGCCTGCTCTCACCTGAGGACCTTGGTCCTCTGCCCTCTCTGCCCAGAACCCCTCCCCCTCACAGACAGAGCACCTGCTGAACACTGAGCACCTTATCCTGGCAGCTCCTCGTAGAGCAAAAATGATACACATTTGCTCAAACACACAAGCTGATCTTGACTGGCCCGTCTGAGTTCTGACACCCCACAAGAGTGAAGGGGGGGGACAAGGGTCTGGGAGGAGGGGAGGGCTCCCAGTAGCTCTTCATAAATTCTCATGAGCACCAGGACTTCAGTTTCTAGAATAAAACTACGTTTCAGTCTGTCGTACCGTTGACAAAGCCACATTGGAGGAGTTGACAACTTCCTGCATGCTCTTCACAATGTCCGCCGGGTCTATCGTCTCAAAATTGATTGGTGAGCTCTCCTCTTTTTCTTTTGGCTGAGGTCTTGCTGGCTTGCCATTCTCCACCTCTTTCAAGAAGTCAAGGTAATTGAAGGCATCATCATGCCAGCTGATTCCCCAACTTGTCCCCAAAGAGAGAAAGAAATATATTAATTACAAAAAGCAACCCTATCACATATTCATTCAGCAAATAGCTGCCGAGCACAGACTAGTGTGCAGAATAGGAATAATGGTCAGACACTGTCTCTGGCCCAGAGGAGCACACGTGCCAGTCAGCTTTGAGAGTGGACGGGCACACACCAATACCGCGATACAGCGGAACGAGGTGAGGGTTGCCGGGGCCACAGACTGTCCCGCCCCGAGGTTCTGAGACTTGAAGCCTGGACGACAGGCCTCATAGCTTTGTGTGGCAGAGAAAGGGAAAAGGAGGCCCAACGGAGGAATCTGACGTGTGGACAAAGATGCCTTTGCAGAGACGAGATACTTGCAGAGCAGGATTATGGGAAGATACGCCCGACAGTGGCATCAGGGACGGTCAGGAAATAAGACTGTGGGATGTGCGGGCTCACGTCTGGGGCCATTGAGACCTCAGCTCATGAGGGCTGGACTGAGAAATGGTTGGGGGATGTGAAAAAAAGAGAACTATGTCAAAGACCTTGGAAAGGGAAAAAGGAACCGGGTAAAACATACGTCAAGTTCTTGTTCAAGATCGGCTGGAACTGAGTGGTCAAGCTGCACGCACTCAGAAGATAGTTTTACAAAATCTACACAGCTTAGTATTTTCTCAGAGAGAAATTCTGAGTGCCTGTCACAACGAGGAGGCCCAGGTGGGGACTTCTTCCTGTCCTCCACTCTGACCGAGCAGAAAATACCTTTAGGTTCTAGAAGAAAATATTGCGAGAGAAAATCCCAAAGTTTCTTGAGACCATCGAGCATATTTAAAGATGTAAAGTAATTCAAAATAAAGTTTAATTACATTCAAAGTTCACATTTTTGTCACTTAAGTTGTCTGGGGAATACTGGCACTTTCACACCTAAACTTTCTTTCAGCGGATAGAGTGCACGTCAGAGAAGGACAGTGTGGAACGTTGGTAAGCCAGACAGAGAAGTTTCTAGTGACTCAGATATCTGCTTCGAAAGAAAATGAGCCAAGGGCTGTGCTTTTCCAACCCACAGCTGCAGAGTGGCCCTTCCGCGGGCCCCACGTCGCTGGCTCATATGATGGAGACATGGAGGAAAAGGCTAATCAACTCTATTTCATCAGCAGGATAAATTGCCAACTTGGTATTAAAATTTAGTAATAAAATCAAATGCATATGCTAATCGCAGTATTATTTAGAAAAGTCTATTTTGGATCTAGAAATGAATAATCTACATATAATTACCAATAACAGAGATGTTTATCATCAAGAGGTCTTTGAGAAGAAATAAGCAACTGAGCGATGGATCCTCATTAAGGTTTCAATTTGTAAAAAAAAAAAAAAAAAGTTGATCACCCCCATTGAAAGGTGGACTGCAGAAATTCCAGTCTTTTTGTTGTGATTTAGAAAAGTATCAAGCCTAGCTATATTTTAACAAGACTCTCCTGCAATCATTTAGTTAATTATTTATCTGGTGCTGCTTTTCTATGATTTATTCATTGAATGCATATGAAATCTTGTTCAGCTGGAAAGAGGAGGTCTTGTTTAAGGAAGAGGAGAACATATAGGCACATTTGAGGATGAGATGGTCCTTCTTCCATTACACACACACACACACACACACACACACACACACATTGGCACTGAACTTCTCTCAGCTCAAGTGCAATAGTGATGGCTTCAAGATTGTAAGGAAAAATTATTTTCTCCCTAGGATTCTATGCTCAGACAAGCAAGCAATCTGTGTGAAGGAGATGAAATAGTTTTTTTTTTTTCAGACAAAGAACTCAGACAATTTATTTCTTGCCTGCCCTTTCTTAGAAAGTTACTTCAGGAAGGACTCCAGCAAAACAAGAATGGAAATTAAATAAAAAGGGGATGCTTGGGTGGCTCAGTGGGGTAGGCGTCCGGCTTCAGCTCAGGTTTCTAAGTTCAAGCCCCACATTGGGCTCTGTGCTGACAGCTCAGAGCCCAGAAACCACCTGCTTTGGATTCTGTGTCTCCGTCTCTCTCTGCCCCTCCCTTCCTCTCTCTCTGTCTCTCAAAAATAAATAAACATTAAAAAAAAAATAAAGAAATAAAAAGGTATGTGGTAAAGGGAACAGGGAATCCAACCCTGCTGGGGAACGGGAGGGACAGACCTGGGACAGGACAGTGTGGTGGCCAGGCTATAGGAGACAAGGCAAAAGGGAAAGCCCGTGAGAACTGTATGTGGGATGGCGTGTTGGGGAACGCTGAAGGTTGACAAGGTTGAATTTTAACTGAGCCCCATGTTCCTAGGAAGCAGCTCTTCCTATTCCCGTTCTTTCTATTCTTTGATCATGCAAAGAACCACCTTTCCCCGTGGAACCTAGAAAGGACGCCCGGGTCCCCCAGGTTTGCCTACAAGGTGGACGCAGAGGTGCAGGGAGGGTGCTGCCGGGAAGAAAGCGAATTTTCATTCATTGTGTGCGCACTGAACACATCATCTTAGTCATGAAATGCTGGTCAATGGTTTTTGAGTTTTAGAATCAACCTATGAACCAAGCCCAGAAGGCCTGCTTGTGGCTACAGGATAGAAGGTTAAATTTAACTATGTTTTCCCCAAATTAAAGCCATACCTGACGGGGCGCTGGGGGGCTCAGTTGGTTAAGCATCCGAGTTCAGCTCAGGTCATGATCTCATCGCTCGTGGGTTCGAGCCCCATGTCGGGCTCTGTGCTGACAGCTCGGAGCCTGAAGCCTGCTTCGCATTCTGTGTCTCCCTCTCTCTCTGCCCCACCCCCACTTGCACTCCACCTCTCTCTCAAAAATGAATAAATGTTAAAAAAATTTTTAAAAACCCAAAAAACCGTACCTGGCAGAAGATGGGACATAGAGGAATCAGAGGGGGCCAGTGGTAGCATGCACAGAAACTGGGAGTGTCACTCTGTCCTTACGATAGGAGAAAAATTGAACATACTGAAAGCCAATAGCTTTTCTTTGTCCCATAAGAAAACTACGGTCACAGGGTAAAACATCATCCCCCAATCTGGAGGGATCTGGGCAAATACAGCTAAGATCAAAAGCCTTTGGAGCCGGAAGCTGGAAGGAACACTTAAAGGACAGTGTGAAAAACTGGTGGGTGCCGTGTATGGACTCGGGGGGTGGGGGGGGACTCATGGGCGCCCATCTACGTCTCGAAGTAGGAGTGAAAGTGGGGTTAAAAATAGGACTAGATGCTCCACGTCCCTCATCATCAGGGAAACGCAAATCAAAACCACCGCGAGGTGTCACCTCACACCTGTCAGAACGGCTAAAATCAACAACACAGGAAGCCACAGGTGTCAGCTGGGACGCGGAGAAAAGGGAACCCTCGGGCGCCGCTGACTGTAGCAACTTCCAGGTTTCTTCTCCCGGTCGGCGCCCAGACTGCTGGCAGCAGGGGACCAGAGACTGTTCCCTGGCTGGGCTGCCACATTTAGAAAAACAAACCAAAACAACCTAGCGGGGCACCCAGTTAAATGACAATTACAGATAAACAAAATAATTTTAATATAAATGTATCCCAAATATTACATGGCACATACTTAAGCTAAAAATACTGTTGTTTCTCTGGAATTCAAATTACCTGGGCATCCCTATGTGTTATGTGGCATTCTCTGGGGAATCTGACCAGCACCACCCCCCTGTCCCAAATTTTAAAGACCCTGACACTGGGGGGTCCTCCAAAGAAACCACAGGCCAGGCTGCCCTACCACAGTAGTCTGTACCGAAAGTTCAAAGCAAAGTCAGTAAGCTCTACCTCTCTGTGCAGAACTTCTAATCTGCTTCTTAGGACCTCACTCTTAGTGTAAGCATATTTTTGTGGAGACTGACTAACATGGAAACTACTAGAAAAAAACAACACGGAGGAGAGACTCCTCAGGAGAAGAAAACTTTTAAAAAATCCATTGTTAACACCTTCAGAGAAATGAGATCGTGCATCCATGACCCAAGAACGCGACGCTCTGAAAGAGGAACATGCTAGAACAAAAACAAGTTCTGGTCATTAGAAATATGGTTGAGTGTGACAGCAGGAACAAAAGTCCCCAAAGAAGGGTTGAGAACTGAAATTGAAGAAATCTTCCAGAAGGGGAAGCAGGAAGGAAAAGGTGGAAGATGGGAAAGATTTTATTTTATTATTATTTTTTTAATGTTTTTTATTTATTTCTAGGAGAAAGAGAGAGAGAGAGAGAGACAGCGTGAGCAGGGGAGGGTCAGAGAGGGAGTCACAGACTGAAACAGGCTCCAGGCTCCGAGCTGGCAGTCAGCACAGAGCCCGATGCGGGGCTCGAACCCATGAACGACGAGATCATGACCTAAGTGAAAGTCAGAAAGTCGGACGCTTAACCGACTAAGCCACCCAGGCGCCCCGAAGATGGGAAAGATTTTAAAATAAAATGAAACATAAATAAACTTAAAAAAAAAAGGTAGAGGGGGAGCGCATGGGTGGCTCAGTCTGTTAAGCACCTGACGTTGGCTCAGGTCATGATCTCGCAGTTTGTGGGTTCAAGCCCTGCATCAGGCTCTGTGCCGACAATTCAGAGCCTGGAGCCTGCTTTGGATTCTGTATCTTCCTCTCTCTGTCCCTCCCCTGCTCATGCTCTGTTTTTCTCTGTCTCTCAAAAAAATGAATAAACATTAAAAAAAATGAAGGAAGGGGGCGCCTGGGTGGCTTAGTCGGTTGGGCGTCCAACTTTCGCTTAGGTCGTGATCTCGCGGTTCGTGGGTTCGAGCCCCGCGTCGGGCTCTGTGCTGACTGCCAGCTCAGAGCCTGGAGCCTGTTTCAGTCTGTGACTCCCTCTCTCTCTGACCCTCCCCTGCTCGCATTGTCTCTCTCTCTCTCTCCTAGAAATAAATAAAAAACATTAAAAAAATTTTTTTTTAAAAATGAAGGAGAAAACATCCCATGATCTCATGGTTCGTGGGATTGAGCCCCGCGTCGGGCTGCATGCTGAATGTAGAACCTGTTTGGGATTCTCTCTCTTCCTCTCTCTCTGTCCCTCCCCTGCATTCTCTTTCTCTTTCTCTCAAAAGGAATAAAGAAACTTTTAAAAAATATATAAATAAGGGCTCCTGGGTGGCTCAGTCAGTTAAGCGTCCGACTTTGGCTCAGGTCATGATCTCACGGTTTGTTGGTTTGAGCCCCACATTGGGCTCTGTGCTGACAGCCTGGAGCTTGGAGCCTGCTTCAGACTCTTTATCTCCCTCTCTTTCTCTGAACCTCCCCTGCTCACACTGTCTCTCTCTCTCTCTCTCTCTCAGAAATAAATATAAAACATTAAAATATATATATATATATATATATATAAACATCCTACATGGTTGAATAGTCAATAAAAATAGAAGTTTCACAAAGAACAGAAGAGGAAGTCAATGAAATCATCAAGAAACTGTCTCATAATCAAATGACGTGAAAAAGGCCATCCAGGAAGATGACGCTGACAGATCAGCTGATGAGCGTGAACGCTGTAGAAGAGATTTTACAACCGGAGGTGAGTTGGGGGTTTAACTATTGATCCTAAGTGCGCAAGAAATGGGCAAATAGGAAAAAAAGAAAAGATAATTGTTAATTCCAGGGAAAACAAAATGCTATGCAGGAAGGGAAAAGCGATACGATGTTATAAACCCCGAACACGGGTCTACACGGAACTGAGATGCAGCATCACAGTGGCCCGTGGAGGGTCCCATGTGGAGGTGGGAGCAGAGTGGCTGAGGTGGTTGGTGCCACAGCTTCCTGGCACGGAGTCCACAGAGACACTGCCTAAAACTTGAAACCCAGGGAGCAGCTATAGAAGCTTGTCACTTAGACATTCGACTTAAGTGCCAGAAGAGGTCATCGAACGCGTCGGATTTGTTGCCTCTGCGGCCGGGGAAACGCGGGGATGGGGCGGCGTGAAGGGCTGCCATCTTTAATCAGCCTCGTAGACCTACCAGACTCCTCCCAAAGGGCATGGATGACGCGGGGACAACGAATACCGATGGTACCACATGAGGCCCATCGGGGAGAGTGACCCATCTGTCAGGCTGCATTCTCCTTGCCCTTGAGGTTGACAAACTGGTTCCCATGGAGCCGCAGGGGTCCCTGGGGGTCATTTCAGTGGCGAAAGGCCGTGAGGACGGACGGGGGTGGGGTGGGGAGGAAGCGAAAGCAATGTGCCAACCCGTTTCCCAGTCCCGCCCACGTGAGCAGCACGGTTAACGCCTGCGAAGGAAACCTGTTCAGAAGATCGGTCAGCCCCTCCCCCCTCAGGGGGCAACCGCACTCCTCCAGCACTTTCTGCATCTTGCTTATGGATATGTAGCCATTATTGGATTTATCCAGTTGGGTGAGTGCTTTGCTGATGTCTTGATAATGGTCTTTAAGCTTGTCCCTGAAAGAGAACACATTTTAGACTTACAAAAGCCAGGAAAAGAGACCATTTCTTTAAAGCAAGAGTTTATAATGATCCTAAGGTGATGATTTGCTGCTTCGGTGAGGAACTAATTTTGAAGACGTTTTGCAGCTTTGGTGTCACATTTGCATTAAAAGGTATTCTGGAAAAAACAGGAAGTCTGTACCATTATCATTCTATTATTATTATCAGTAGCAAAGCTATGTTATAGAAATTACGACCTTGTTTTTTTTTTTTTTCCTAGATTTGGAACTTTAAAAATAGAACAAGGAATTAAAAACTACAGTGATATAACAGACCTGTGCGGTGCTCCTGATGCACTCAGTGGAAACTCGTGGAGCACCTCCTACGTGCCAGCTACTGCTCTGGGCATCAGGGCGCGTCTAAGAACTCACATCCCGGAGGGGCGAGGCCGGCGTGAAATAGAAGACGCTGGGAACACAGTGCAGGGGGTCGGCGGAGGCCAGAGAGCAAGACTGAGGACCCCGCACAGGAGCAGGCTGCGTTTCCCACGGGGAGGTGCGGGAACGCCTCTCGGGGAAAGAGGCACTTGAGCAGAGATGGGCGTTACCCCCACCCCCCACCCCAGAAGGCTTTCCTGGGTTCAGGGTCAGCCAGCACCGGGGACCCTAAGGCAGGGACAGAAGAGCTCAGGAAGTGAGGAAGGCAGACAGGATCTCGGTGTCAGCTGTGGAGAAGGGGTGCCCAGGGACCCCTTGGTGTTTTATTAGGTACTGTGATGTTAAGAAACACAGCCACCAGGGGCTTCTGGGGCGCTCAGTCTGTTAAGTGCCTGACTCTTTTTTTTTTTAAATATGTTTTAAAACTTATTTTTGAGAGAAAAAGAGACAGAGCATGAGAGGGGGAGAGGCAGAGAGAGGGAGACACAGAATCTCAAGCAGGCTCCAGGCTCTGAGCTGTCAGCACAGAGCCTGACGTGGGGCTCGAACCCTCAGACCACGAGGCCATGACCTGAGCCGGAGTTGGACACTTAACCGACTGAGCCACCCTGGCGCCCCCAGCCTTTGACTTTTGACTTCAGCTCAGGTCATGATCCCACAGTTTGTGAGTTCAAGCCCCGCAGTAGGCTCTCTGCTGACAGCACGGCACCTGCTTGGGATTCTCTGTCTCCCTCTCTTTGCCCCCTCCCCTGTGCGCTCTTTCTCTCTCAAAATAAACTTAAAAAAAAAAAAAGGAAAAGAAACACAGCCACCATTTGTGTGCTGTGTTCACATACTTTCAACCACCGACTCTTCTTAACAGCCCTGCCGGGGAGGTGGGTAACAATCACCTCACTTTACAGACGAGGAATGAGAGTGCCCTTCTGTAAAGTGGGCCCACGTGGACCTGCCTCTTGCAGGGACAGAGGCGGCGTCTAGCCACACCCCTGATGAAGGCTGGTGTTCTTACAGAACATGTTCAAGTTTCTATGAATTCATTTGTCAGGAAACTTCTTCCCCGATGCTGGCTGGGGGTGGCGGGGGGTGGGGGGGGAAGAAACATAAATTGTTAAGGGACTAAAAAAGCGTAGAAACCTTTAAGAACGAATAATCTTGCACCCGGCCTGGGTGGGCTGATTGTAAATTCCATGACCTTGGCTCACCCAGCTCTCTAAGAAGAGCTCTTCCTACCGCGCTGAGCAACATGTTTGTCTGGGCGGCTCAGGCTGGGGCTGGGCTGTGGGGTTCTTATTCAGGGAAGAGGATGTGCTATAAATTCCAAACCCAGAATCTCTGCCGGTAATTGTCTGCCACCCCAGATATGTATTTGTGGAGACAGCAGATCCTTGAGCGTGGCTAGAAAAAGGAATCCACAGACAGAAGAGCCAGAAGTCCAAAAAAGAGGGGAAGCCGAGGGGGAGCACACAGGTCGGAATGGGGTAGTGGCATTGACTCTGAAGTTACCGTGGATCGTCATCCATCCCTTTCCCTCCTTGGCCTCCAATTTGGAGCTGGCCGACTGAGCATTTGAGCCACAGATACAAATGAGCTGCGTTAACTGTTCAGCAAATGTATACCGACAGCAGCAACGTTCTGGATTCCCTTACAGGTGTGTGCTGAATTCCATCTCGCCTTACAAAATGATTACTCGTCATCACAACGATTATAGTCCACTTAATTCTTCAAAATGAAAGCAAATGAAGGTGTAAAAAGAATCAAAACATTTTTTTGAGATACGTATTTTTAGAAAATTGAGGCATTCAGCATTTCTTGGACTGGTTTCTAGGCAGTAATTACTTCCCTTGCAGAGTAAATATGTGCACAGAGTAAATGAGGGTTCGGAGCACAGATCACACCACATGGCTGAACTGAACCAGTGTGAGCTGACACTTGGGGACAGGCTGTGGCTGCTCGGGGTCCGTGGCTGGCTCCTGGTCTGGACGACAAGTCAGGTCCGAAGAGGGCACCGCCATGGCCCGTGGGAGGGTCACGGGGTCCTCCCCGACACACCCTCGCCGGGCCAGGCTCTGCCGCTCCTACAAGTCCTGATCTGATGTTGGAACAGGCCAGGGCTTCTACGGCTGCTGGTTCCCTATTTCTGCTCTGATTCCAAATCTTCAACTCAGACTTGGGCAAAAAAGAGCAAGGCTTGGAACACAAGTATGAGCTTAAAAAAGGGTTTTTCTTAATTTTTAAAATGTATTTAGGGCACGCTGACTTAAGAGGCAAATCTAAATTTTGGTCACTTTAACGGACCTGACTCCTCACTTCCCATCAGAGGAGCTAGAAGATTCTGGAAACACTGAATCCTATGAACCACCAGGAAGACCCACTGACACCCAAATTCAAAAGCGGGCCATTCTGAAGGGCAAAGTTAGCTGACAGTGTTACAATCTGACATCTTTGAGGAACGGACGTTGGTCGTGCATTTTTATGAAATCAGGCTTGCCTTCTTTGGTGAAAAAGTGTGATGGTGGCAAAGAGGGCAGGGTGAGTGTGAATTAGTGAGCTGAGCTGAGGGGATCTGTGTTTGGTGGCTGCCAGTTCTTTCCGCTACGATCCACATTCACACAACAAACGGGAAGCTCGTGAAGAGAAAGAATGTGGCGTGAGCGTGCCGAGGCTGTGAGATTTCTTGCGGAGCCTCATTACTCACAAGTGGCAGGAGGGAAGACACACGTGGGTAATGAGGCCAGCCCTGTCTGCTAAAGATAAATTCCATTTTTTCATTAGTCTTATGGCATATTTGATTTATACCAATCTTGCGCATATTTTTACTTCAAATCTCACAAACTCAACTCTCTTCCTTCAGGCTTTATAACTCAGTAACTTGGGACATCATTCAGGGTGTGTCTGGCCAGCTTTTCTCATAAACCCTGTTTAGCCATTAGGTGTCTTCCCTGTGTCCTTGGGGTTCTTATTTCCTTTGGGGTTTCTTTAGCAACAACCCATTCGCTCATTCCGGTGCCTGTTGAGGTGGGGGGGGGGGACAGAGAGCTGAAGTGACAGGTGACAGACAGAAACACGGATGAGAACAACACGGAGCTAGAGTCCCAGGAGCGGGGTCCCAGCCTTGGCAGGTGCTGACGGGTGACCAACCACCAGGGCCTGGGACTGATCAGGGACATCTGTCCCACTGCTTGATAGTTACATCGAATGCAGCAACATTTTCTCCTGCATTATAATCTTTCTAAAAATTTTTTAATGTTTATTTATTTTTGAGAGGCGGGAGGGGCAGAGAGAGAGGGAGACACAGACTCCGAAGCAGGCTCCAGGCTCTGTGCTGTCAGCACAGAGCTTGACACAGAGGCTGGGAACCCACAAGATCATGACCCGAGCCAAAGTCGGACGCTTAACCGACCAAGCCCCCCAGGCGCCCTATCCTGTGTTATTATTTTTTTAAACAAGACATTAGTAACTGATTTTAAACTTTGAAAATAGTAACACAGTCTCATCGTCCAAATACAACACATGACCCCTCGCACAACACCTTCTGGTCCTTGTGAACAGCACACACATTTGATGCTATTTCCAGTCATGATACACATACTGGTTAAAATTAGTCATTTCCAATTAGCCTTTGATCGAAGACCTTTTCCACAGTCTTCACGATGCTAACTGAACAGGCATACGGTTTCCCGTATTCTTTGGGGCCACACTCTATAAGGCAGCGCACTCACTGTGACTGGCAGGGGTCCCTTTCAGTTGTTGCTGACGACACACTGCAAATTGTATCTTCCAACCACTAAACGGTTGGCCTCTATTTCATTATTTCTTTGGGATAAAGTCCCCCAAGTGGAAGTACTGAGTTAAAGAATATGTCTGTTCATCCATTCATTCAATCATCCATTCACCAACAGAGGTTCGTGGGGTGCCCAGGAGGAGTCAGGCACGGCTCTGCACTGCCTTCTGGAACTTGCCATCTGGCTGGGCGAGGGGTGGGGCCCAGGGTGTAGGTGAGTAACCACCTGAAAAGGTCTCAAAGGTGACCTACAACATAGGAATGATGTGAGGCCACGACTGAAGGAGGCTCGTAGCTCTTTAACTCCTTTATAGCTCTGTGGCCTCGCACCCATGTCAAGCAGCAAGCGAGTATTACAATTTCATGACGACCTCGCCAGCCCTGGGAGGGAGGTACTGCTTCAGAACCACTTTTGCTGCAAGGGCACGCGTCGAACAGGTGGCCAGCTCGAGGCCCTGTGGTACTTACGCACTCACCTGGCCGGCACGGCCCTGTCTGGGCTCCGCTGCGGCTGTCGGGTCTCCTCATGCACCTGCTGGGGCTTCGTGAAATGACCCATGAAGTTGAAGTAGTTCTCGGCATAGGGCCGATGCAAGTCGGCCGAGTAGCTAATCCCCAACTTCTGTAAAAATTCTTGGTAAGTTATATGTCCTCTTCCCTCGGTGTCATAGCTTCAAAAACAAACAGGACCCTTGTCAATGGCCACCATGGTGTGCGGTGCTCAGGGCTTTGACAACATCTGCGCTGTCTGGGGGCGGCGGGAAGGGGGCAGGGCTCACTTGGATCCCTGTCACTCAGTGCGCCCTGCAGACCGGCAGCACCGCTCACCTGGGGGCCGGAAATGCAGAATCTCCTGGGTCACCCAGACCTGACCTGCATGCCCATTTAACCCGATCCCTAGGTGATTCCCAGGTGCATCAAACTTGGAAACCTATTGTCTTCATCAGCGGGACGGTCATGCCTTGCCTGAGGTGACCTCGGCAGCCTCAAGAGAGGGCAACCGAGTTCATGCGCTTGTCGTTCTGTGAGAAAAATGTCTGTGGCCACAGAAGATGAAAATCAAGCTTTCCATTCATTCGACAGGTTTTTTTTTTTTTTTAATTGAGCAGCCACATGTAAGGACTATGCTAAGATTTAGAAGAAAGTCCTTCAAAAAGCATATTCAATCTTAAAACTCAAAAAAATGAATGCCATTTGATTCAAATTCCCCATTCTCTCTTTGAAGAGATGCCAATTACATACAACCAACGAGCACGGCCAGTCAGGAAAACAAGATAAGAATTATGCTACGTACCTTTTATGTCATTTTCTATTAGTGAGATGTTTCTGAATTATAATTCATTAGAAAAGGCATAATGGAGGGTTTTTATCTCCCAGCATTATTCAAATAGAATAGAATTACTTCAATAAAAAAATTTTAAGGCAAATTGCCAATTTTCTTTAAAGGAAAAAAAAGCATTTATTTTTACCGAAAGATCTTGGTCCTCATCTCACAGATAAAAATGCCATTTGCGGATGTGATTTTTTCCCCTCCCGGATGAACTCAAGAGTTACAACGCTGTGGGCATAATCCTCTGGCAGGACTGTTTGGATGCCTGTCTGAGCACTAAGTGCAGACGGCTTTCCTTTGTGAGGTCGAGCTTGCCTCTCGTTAGCTGACAAGACCCCGAACAGTCTGCAGGATCCCACGCTCTCTCGCCTCCGATGCACAGAGGCCTCTGCAATGGCTTCAGCTGAGCAGCGAGGAAGGAAACGTATTTATTTACCCCACTTTCTTGTCCTCGAGGGACGGGGTGGGGGCTGGAGCGTGAGAGGTCGGAAGTGCGGGCAAACACACCACGCACATGTGCTAAAGCCCACAGAGCATTCCAGGCGTGGCAATGCCATCCATCCTTCCCCAAGGCCGAGGGGGCTGTGTCCCCAAGGCATCTACACAGCTGGAGGCCGCCCCCCTCCCCACCCGTTGCTTCTGTGCCCCACACGTTTGTGGCTTCCTCCTGCCGCGTGTCTGACGTCCACCTGCCTGTCAGCCCTAGTTCTGTCACACACTCTATCTTACCAGGGAAGGAGGACCCCACCCCCACCCCCCCGCCCCCGCCCTGGTGATTGGGAGGCGGCACAGGGCGGAGAACTCCAAGTCCAACACAAGCTCCCTGGCGCAGAGGCCCTGGCAAGGCGCTCAGCCGTTCTGGGGCTCTGTGCCCTCATCTGGGAGCCGTCAAAGGCCTTCCCAGACCTAACGTCTCAGGTCAGCGCCCTGACTGCCGCTCCGACTAGAGTCGTGGACCCACTGAGGCCTTTCCAGGTGTCTGTTATTAGCACAGCCTTCGTACTTGCAGCTCCTCCTCCCCCTCCAAGACTCCATTCCATCTGCATCCAGTGGACTCTGTTTCTCAAACAAAACAGAGGGCCCCACGCACCAACGGGGGCCTGTGGGCTATCTCCTTGCCGAGGCTTGTCCTGCGATTCTAGCAGGGTCGTGATGCTCCAGGCAGCACAAGGGCCTCTAGCAAACAGCTCTTCCTGCTTCGGGGGATAAGATTCTGGCTGCAGAAAGGGCAGTGGCGTTTTATATCCGTGTGCCTCGGACAGGGTGCTCCTCCTTGAGCCTCTAGGGTGATCCCAGGGCCCTGCGTCTCTCCCTGAATTGCGTCAGGCCCGACTAGCCTTGGACCAGCAGAGCGATATAATAACACAACTCTGGTCAAGACCCCCCCTTTGAATAAAGCCCCCAAGGGCTCCCCATTCCTACAGGAGGGCTCCCCAAAGAATGGTGCATAGACCACCCGCTGACAAACAACGCCCCCCCTCCCTAAGTTGCAAGTGCTGTGTTTCCACCTGCTCCTGGATTCCTCTGGGGCCTGGGGAGGGTCAGTGGGTAAATGCACACAGGAGCTCAGAGGAGCGCACGCCGCTGTGTCCACCTGCTGCTCACCACCCACAGGCTCAACCACATCCTTCTTTTCACCTCTACACCTTTAGAGCCTGCCCTCCTTCCCTGCCGGATGGCAAGTTTCTTGAGGAGCAACCACCCCACCATGCTTGTCTTACAAACAAACTTCCTGCGCCCGGCGATGGGCCTCCCAAGCTTCATTATCAACATTTGTCCTTTGAGCTAATGAATGCCAGGGACGCGTGTTCCCAAGGAAGCACTGCGATCCTGGCCCGTTATGCGCAGGAGATTACTGACAACAAACTCTAAATCATGACACTTGAACTGAATGAAAAGACGCTTCTTAATTACTTCATTAATAAAGATCATAAACATTCCATTCTCATCGCAAAGGAACAGAAGACCAGATTGCACAATTGCAACTAAAATATTGTTACAAACGTGAATAAGAAGAGAGTTAATGCAGCTTACATAACCTCACCCTTCATTACATAATCCTTTGTGCAACATTTTAAGAAACCAACTTGCCTATGAAGGTTGAATTTTAAAACAGTTTGGCAGCAGATGTGCCAGGAAAAACGCGCACATAAACAGAGGACCCATAAAAGCCTGCGTTTGCATGTGGCGATGGCCACTAATTTATGATATAATCTGATTTCTCTTCCCATTTGTTGTACGCACAGCAGTTCAGCTGTACACATGATCTGAATATGTGCACACTGATTGCTTTGTTGAGAAAGTCTTGGTCCTTCGTGCTCAGCTTAGGTGCTCGACTCTTGTGTCAGTAACAGGTCTACCCGCCAACATGTCTCTTAGAGCCAGAGGGTCTGGGGGAAGCCCCATTGATGACTCAGGCCAGGCAGCCCGGGACACACAGAATCCTCTCCCGTGTCCCCCGTGAGGGTGGTCTGATGGCCACGGCCATTGGGCACGTTCAGCAAAGTCCTGGTGGAATCCTTCCGGGGCCACGATCCCTCCTCTGTGCCACCCCATCCCCGTAAGTGGTGTCCTGGCCTTCCATAAACCCTGCCAGGGATGGGAAACGTACCCCTTCAAAGACCACCGGTGGGAGTGCCAGACAATTTGAACCATGAAACGTTCTTTACGCTGAGCTAGGAGCCTATGTGGCCAGTCATCTCCAGGCGCTTCCCCAACTCCCTCCCTGCCACTGTGTCCCGTTCAGTCTCCTCCTTCCTAACCTACAGACCTTGCTCACTGGACGCTTTCAAGTCCTTTCCCACCTCGGGGCCCTCCGTGTCCTGGTGTGCCACAGCCTGGTGCCCCAGGTTCTAGCCAGGAGGCTGCTGTGGCTGAGCCAACGCAGAGGACCCAGCTTCTTGGTAACTTAGAGTCAGGGCTGCCTCCCGGGAGCTGGTGCATACGACACTGGACCTTTGCACCATCTTTTCTTTTGACGTCAGAATGCCAAGATACAACTTTCCTGCGAAATTATGAAATGTGCGAAAGCTGGGCGTCAACGACCCCCAAAGCTTTCTATCAAGTCCACCTGGCTGGCTGTATACAGCTGATCACCTACCCCGTTCATCCCGAGATTTGCTTTCCTGCTCTGGTCTTCCATGAACTTTTATAATGCGTTGTTTTCATGGTCGTCCAACAGAGTCTGTTTCAGATCCAAAACAGATAAATTCTGTCTGGTGAAATGAGGCTAGAGAAGGCGTTCGGCACGCTGTGCGTGTCCCCGAGGATGTGGCTCCCCCGGTGGGCCCCTGGGCAGGCCTGTTGGGCACCCTGGTCCTGGCAGTCCCCGTGCTGGACAGGCTCTGCTGAGACAGGCAGGGCCCTTCCTCTCCCGTCTCAGACTTGCCCCTCCTCCCAGCTCCGGGCCTCTGCTCGCCGGCGTGTCCTTCCCCCACCCCTGGCTAATGACTGTTCATTAAGACTCAGGTCACGTATCCTCACGTCTCCCGGGGGCCCCTCCCCTGGACACCCGCGCAGCTCCCACGGCCCCGCCACCATCGCCTTCCCCCTCTGCCCTGCCTGCTGAGCCATGAGCCGCCTGAGAGTGACGACTGCCTCGCCCCTGAAACCCCAGAAGCTAGCACAAGGCCTACAACTCGGAAAGTTCCGAAAAATCCCTGCTTCGTGATTGCTCAGATGAATGAAGGCATGAATGAGTACACTTCCATCTTTGCAACTTATTCTTAGCAGTCGCTCCAAAACCAAACCAAACACGCTGCTCCTGAAATCTCATCCTTACAGATCCTAATTTGGCTTCAGTTAGCAGGTTTCCCTTTACACCAGCCTCCTTCAGGCTCGAGTCTTCTGTTCCTTCAATCCCTTGACACCCAGGTGCTCCTGGAACTGTCCAGCCCCCATGCAGCTAGCAGGGGCTGAGGACCAGCCCTGGGCCACAGGCAGGGGGTGTGTCGCTTGGGGCTGAAGCCCCACCAGAGCCCATGTGGTCCCTACTGAGACAAGGGAGCCACAGGCTGGAAGCCAGCCAGACCCCCAGATCACGGCTTGGGAGAGGATCGGCCGGAAGAGATGCTACCCATGCTACAGACGCAGGATGAGTAGGAAATGAAACATCGGTGTGCTACACCACTGAGATTCGGGAGTTAATTCATTAATTTACTCCCACAGCATAAACAAGACCCTCCAGACTAATCTGAGGCTCTAAACTAGTGCACTTCACAGGTGCTTAATAAATGTTGAGTGAATAATGGACGCTATTTTTCCCTCTTGACTATATTCCCCCCTATTTTAAAATTTTGTATTTTCAAAAGAGTGGAATGTTATTTATCTACTCATGTCCACCTATCCATGTTGGGGGGCTTTCCTATTCTGACATTCAGACACGCCTGGGCTGACAAGAGTGTGTCCCACGGGTCCCAGCTGCCTCTGGGGGCGGCGGGGGGGGGGGGGGGGAGGCAAGGGATGCATTGTTAGGGCGACAGACAGAGGCCCCTGGTGTCCGGACAGCCCATGGCTGGCCAGCACCTTGTCGCTGGCTCAGCGCCCCCTGCTCTGTGGCCCAGAGCAGGAGGCGGGGCGTGAGGCAGGGCGAGGAACCTGTCATTGCCTGCGAACACCGGGCGGTTGAGAGGAACAGGCCGGGGGGTGGGGGGAGGTGAATGAGCGTGAGGATGACCAGCTGAGACCACAATGGGTGGAAAAGCCACACCACCAGGTCACCGTTTATCATTACAGCTGCTTTGCTGCTGTCCTTTCTTTCCCTTTATGCTTTTCTGGATTTTCTATGACTTCTAAAATGAGTATGTGTCTTTCCCTGCTAACCTCCTGGGCTCAGGACGGCATCCCTACCTCGTCGGGCCCTTCATGATCTGGTCCAGAGGACGAGCAGCCCGCTCTCCTGCCTGTGTCCGGGCTGCCCAGGTTACTCCACAGTCCTGGGGTGCAAACCCCTCCTTGGCCCGTCAGCTGGATGTGCATCTGGTGGCTCTCAACCCTGGGCTCACCCTTCGGCACATCTTCCGAGTTAAGCGCCGGCTGCTCCTGGGGAGGTGGGCCCAGTCAGAAGGCAGGAAGAGGGCAGTGGGGGCTATTTCCGGTGCGTCTCCTGCCATGGCCATGACTCCTGCTCTGCACAGTGGCTGAGGTTCTAGCACATTCTGAGGCAGTGTTGGGGTGAGATGCCTCCAGAAATACACTGATTCCCTTTTGCCCTCCAGTCCTGGGTTGGGGAGCGGTTTCCTGATCTCTGGGTAAGCCCCTTCCTTTTCCTCTTGTAGCCCAGGGGGGTTGTGAGACCACATCCCCTCAGGCTTCCGGCCCTTGGACATCTTTGTCATCAGTCACTGCATTAAGCTCCACTTGGCCAGAAGTGTTAGAGTGGTTCTGCTTTCCTGCCCAGATACTGGTGTATACCTATTCCGGAAGTTTCCTGTGTCTCGAATGCCCTCTCCTCCATTGAGGGGGTAGTTCCACCTGTGGCAGACACCATCGCTGAGCTCTCTTGTCACCGGTTCTTTTTTGCCCGGGACACGTCCGGGCTGCGTCTCCCAGCCTGCCCTGTAGGTGAGGGCAGCTGTGTTAAGGGACTCTGGCCAACAGAACGCGGGCAAAGTGACGGCCACATTTGCAGGCCTGGGTCTCTGCAAGGCTGACCACATGGTCCTCTGTGCTCTTCCCCTTTCTCTACGCTGGGGCGGGGGTGGGGGACACAACCGCTCCAGCGGGTGGTGGGCTCCTGGTCCACGGAAGGAATTGTGGACAGACTCCCTGCGCTACATCAGGACGCAAGCCCCTGTTTGTGGCCATGGTCGGCCTCCCCCGACCGACCCATCCAGCAAATTTAGCAGAGAAGGCACAGAGTGAGGCACAGAGAAGTTGAGTGACTTGACAGAGGGCCCACAGCTCTGAGGATGGAGGCAGGGGCCATGGCCACACGTCTGGCAGCGGGGTGCTCTCCCTTGGGACCCCTCAGCATCCGTGGTGTGCAGCCAGCTGACAAACGCAGATGGAATTCTGACTTCACACAGTTATTAGCACAGGGCGGACATTTGTAATGTCAATAATGTCAATAAATGTATAAAGAAACTTGAGCCCAAAGCAACAGGGGAGGAGGGGTGTCTCACTTCCATTGAGATGGACACGTGCTCTATCCCTGTTTCCAGAAGACGAGTGGGTGTGCCCTTCTTCTCCCCCTCGAGGGGGACACTTGGTTCCAACACCCCTCTTTCCTATGGCCGGCACCCAGCCTGGGAGCTCGCCCTGCCTCGCCCCGATGCAGACAACAGTCTCCCGGGCCCACGCATCCCTTCTCTGAACCTTTTCCTGACCCGTCTTCCTGACGCGTGGCTGGGTGATCCACAGCTCTGATCAGCCCTCACTCTTCCCGATCGCGTGGCTAATACAACGCCTGAAAACTCGGGCTTCGGGCCCGTGATGGCCTTGCCCCTCCTTTCTCACCCTGGGAGCCCTGGGCCAGCACTATGGACCGGCTCACTGACATCCCATGGGTGAGGGGATCCCCCTTCTCCTCTGACGCCCCAGAACGATTTCAACCTCCCTCCTACCGTGACAGCTTCCTGCTCTTCCACGCCCCCCCCCACCCCCCCGGTGCTCCTGCTTTTATTTCCTATTCCCCTCAACATGTTCCCTCCTTGGGCATTTATCACAGGCGACACGGTGCCCCCGCATGTGGGTGCCAGCTTGCGTCCTCTGACAGGTCCCTGAGTATCGAGACCACACAGTGGCCTTTGTATCATCTAAAAGGCGACACAGTGGGAGGTCCATGCGTGTGCCTGGGGACCCCAACCTTTCCGTTACTCAGTGGGACCCACTCATTTAATCTACTGAAAGAGAATATGAATGAGAGCCTCAACTGGCCCTGTGTTGGAACTGATCTAAAAAAAAAAATAAGGATTTTATAAGAACTTCAAGTTGCTTTCCTAAATTAGACACAAAACAGCCCACCTAATTCTAAACTCGGCCAACATTTCAGCCTTCCACTTTGAACAGATGAAAAGCTAAAAAATTACATGAGCTGCTCTGTGCGCCTGCCCCCGGGAGGATGTACAACACTGTATGCAGTCTTGCAGGGACGCGAGCGGCAACCAGCACGTGCTGAGGATGGAAGTAATTCAAGGCTGGGTCTGGAACTCAGAAATTGACCGCATTGTCCGTGCACCTGGACTCGGGCCCCGACGCGGGCAAATACTGCAACTGGGAGCCAATTCGAGAACGGCGGAATCTAAAATACTTTTTGAAAAATGTCAGTGATATTAGATATTATTTTCCATTTAAGACACCCTTGGGAAACCACGCCGAGTTGCCAAAAGTTTGGTTATTTTCTTTCAGCAAATTACTTACCTATAAAAAAAACCGTTGTGCGACATTGAATTCCATCTGTAGGCGACAGGGAGAGGCTGCATCCCCCCTACCCCCGGGGCAGAACTGTCTGCTGAGCTAGTTGGGTTAGGATTAGGTCTTTGGGGAGTGACTTCACTTTCTAAAACAGTACAAGGATGGGCTTGAACTCCTGGTTCTTTGGAAATGCAAACCTCTTAAGTCTGGTATCGATGAGGAGTGTTTACCCTGATTCTCCACGTCCCCAAAGACCAGCCCCTTTGCCAAGGCTGTTTTCCATGGGGAACAAGGGCACGGGACAGACACAGCCAGAGGAAACCATTCCTATAGCCCCGCACCATGGCCCCAAGTAGCAGGGCAAGGCTGGTGCTGAATTTGCAGCAGCCAGTAGCCTAGGACCCTTGGGACAGAAGGGCGTTGACCCGCGGATGCCACTTACCTCATCCAGAGCTTCTCGAATTCCCTTGGTGTTAGAGGAATATCAAAACCATACAGCGCGTTCTTTATATCCCGCCGCCGAAGAATGCCATTGCCCTCGCTGTCGGTTTCTATGAAATTCTGCAATATTACAAGATAACATTCGTAACCGATAAAATGTGTTCATGGCAGTCTAAAGGACTGTCGATAGTCAATACCTGGAACAATAGAAGACGTTTCTCTCCCCATCCACCTGCTTAATTACTTTTCCATCAAAGTTCCAGATACCCTCATCATTTCTGTAAAGAAGGTGACCGAGCAAAACACAAACAACTGTCGTGAATCAGAAGGGGCTGGTTTCTGGGTGACGAGTGGTCTCAGGTGTGTGACCCAGCCAACCACTTGGGTTCAAGAGCTGTTAGAAATGAGGGTCCCAGGGGTGCCTGGGGGGCTCTGTTGGTTAAGCGTTTGACTTCAGCTCAGGTCATGATCTTATGGTTCGTGGGTTCAAGCCCTGCTTCGGGCTCTGTGCTGACAGCTAGCTCAGAGCCTGGAGCCTGCTTCGAATTCTGTGTCTCCCTCTCTCTCTTCCCCTCCCCTGCTCACACTCTGTCTCTCTCTCTCTCTCTCAGAAATAAATAAATGTTAAAATTTTTTAAAAAAATAAAAGAAATGAGGGTCAGAGCCTGGGGAAGGAGACTGTAGCCCACGCTGCCGGAGGTGTTCACCTAGACAATGCAGCAGATTCGGCCCTTTGGCTGTAAGACGGGGATGGGGTGCATGAGACCCCAGCTCTGATGACGTGATGATATGGTTCCTTTATTTTTTTAAGTTTATTTATTTTGAGAGGCAGGAGGTGGGGCAGAGAGGGAGGAAGAATCCAAAGCAGGCTCCATGCTTCTGAGCAGAGCTTGATGTGGGGCTTGAACTCGTGAACCATGAGATCATAACCTGAGCCAAAATCAAAAGTGGGATGCTTAGCCGGCCGAGACACCCAGGCACCCCAGTATGGTAACTTTTTAATGTCCCCAAGGGATGCAAAACGTAGCTGGGGAATTTGCAGCCAGTTAAGAGGGCCACAGACTAGCAGGTAACGCGTAGCACTCAGCACGGACCTAACTTGCTTCCAAGTGATCGCTCATCTGACCCTCCTCATAACGACACCGTGAGGTAGATGCAAGGGCACGTCTATAAAGTCTTCTGCAGGCATCGTGCTCCACGGTGAAGGTGGGGACATGAAGGTGGAGACATTCCTTTTAAGATCACGAACAGATAACATCTCGGCTGCCCCCTTTTGATCATTGTACTGGAGGTATCAGCCAGGGTAGTTAAGCAAGAAAAAGGAATAATAGGCATAACAATAGGACAGCTGTCATTATTCACAGGTGACATGGCTGTATATATAGGAAGAATTCCTGAATAAATTACTCTTTCAAGAGAATTTAGCAAGAAGTCTGGTTTTCATGTCAATAGGCAAGATCATTCACATTCTTATATATTAAGCATAGAAAAAAATTGTTTAAATATTTATAACAGCATCAGAAATAGAAAGCCATAGGAATAAATATTTTTTAAAATTTACTTATTTATTTTGGGAGAGAGAGTGAGAGTGGGGGAGGGACAGAGACAAGGAGAGAGAGAATCCCGGGAGCGCTCTACACTGACAGACTTCAACTCACAACATGAGATCTTGACCTGAGCCAAAGTCAGATGCTCAACTGACTGAGCCACACAGGTGCCCCATTCTAGGGAGTAAATCTTATAAATGACTGTAAGACCGCTACGTAGGAGAGTCTAAAACTTAATTGAAAGATATTTAAAAATATCAAAATAAATGGAGATACACTGTGTTCGTGAACTGGAAGGCTCAAAACCGTAAAGCCAGCATTTCTCTCCAAACAAATACCCCGGTACGTTTTGTTTCTTTGTGGGACTTGACAGACTGATTCATAAACTCTTAAAGGACAGGAGGAGGGACTTGCCTGCCAGCTGAGTAAGACGCATGACCGAGTTGCTGTGGTTATAGCCATGTAGTAGGGGTGCCAAGACAGACAAACTGCCCAGTGAAACAGAGTGAGGAGCCCAGAGACACCACGGTCCCTGAGACAGGACAGTGGTGACACCAGAGATGAGAGGGGTAGGGGTGGGCTTTACAGGGGCTTGATGACTGGGTCTCCCAAGGGAGGAGTGGGAGTGGACCCCTGCCTCCCGACACATGGGAAACACGCTGTGCAGATTTCAAGACTGGGATGCGAAAGGCTTCACTGAAAAGCTGCCAGAAGGTCTTCATGACTTCCGATGAAACACAGATTCTTGGGCAAGACTTACAGTGAAGTGTTAACACATTTGACTATATCAGAAAGAAGAACTTGGGTGCCTGGATGGTTCAGGTAGTTAGGCGTCAGACTTCAGCTCAGGTCATGATCTCACAATTCGTGGGTTTGAGCCTCGTGTCTGGCTCTGTGCTGACAGCTCAGAGCCCGGAGCCTGCTTTGGATTCTGTGTCTCCCTCTCATTCTGCCCCTCCCCTGCTCATACTCTGTCTCTTTCTGTCTCTCAAAAATGAATAGACATTAAAAAATTTTTTTAAAGAACTTATATTTACCAAAAGATATCATATGAAAAGGGTGCGAACACAGAACACACACTGGAATTAGACTCACGCCACGTGTCATTTACAAAAGACAAGTAGCCAGACTGTGGTACGAGTTCCTATTGACCAATGAGAAATTGCCAGACGGCCCGATAGGAAAACTAACACACAGGTACTTCGCGGAGAAAGGAAACCCGCCTCAGGAATAAATGAAAAAATACTCAACGCTCACGAGTAACCAACACACGCCACCTAAACCTACGATGACGTGTTGTTACGCATCTGCCGCGGGGCAGGAAGTCAAGTCGGACAGTGCCAAGGGCCACCAGCACCAGCGGAGCTGAGTGGTTGTGTGTGAAGCCCTGGCCCCCAGAGCCAAGGCGAGTCACCGCCTGGCCCTTTCACCAAGTGTGCGTGGTGCGGAGACATTGACAATGTCCTCCTCTTCCATCTGGATGGTGTTGCACAGTGGGATACGACCCAGGATATGCGGTGACCACCTTAAACGCACCTAAACAGTGCATATATATTATTATTGTATATGTATTGGTATATATACTATACACATTCGTGCATATTATACACATACAAACACACACATATTACACAGAGTATATGTCATATATTACTATATATTAGTATATATTATATAATACGTATTATTATGTCATATATAATTCATAATATATTATTATATAATTTATACTATTATATATATCACTATTACATTCCACTGTAGAGTCAAAACTTAAGAAACAAGCTTAAAAACAAGCTACTTCAATTATAACACAATTCTTCAGCGCTGTTGTTGGTATTTATACAACAAGTCTCTTGGGAACAGAGACCGTGTCTTTTTTTCTTTTTGTCACTGTGTCTTTATTAAAGATCTTGCAACCATGCACAGTTAATTCATTAGAGTGTTTGCTGAACAAATCAATGCACTTTTTTTCCAAACAAACTTAAACAGCAGCGAACGTGCTCAGCCACCCAGCACAGGCCGACGGCTGCGTGCGTCCATGAATTCAGCTGGTGGTGTCCTGGGGACACCGACTGAGTGGCTACTGGGGACCCTCGCTGAAAACAAGAACCTGACTCCTTGTTCACGTTTCTAATGCAGGTTTACTGGAGACCACGTCCTTTCTGATACTCGCAGGTCCTGTTTGGCGGACCCTCCGCAGAAAGGCCCAGAGGGGAGACAGACGCCACACCCCTGCCACGACAGAAGTAAAGGGCAAGGCTGCGCTGGCCGGAATGAGGACACTCTCCTGGTCACCAGGCATCCGTCATGAATGCTGCTCATCTTATCTGTGCGTCGCCCTACTTTCTGCAGGTTTAGAATTCTGAACGGATGCCTTCAGAGTTTTGTTCAAAATAAACGGACAGAGCGGCAGAGATGTCCGATAGAACCAGGGGCATTCAGTCCTGAGGGGGTCCGCGGGAGGGGTGGGGCCCGGCATGAAGGGACGCTTGACCCCCCTACAAAGTGGCTTCACACACTCCTGCTGATACCTCTGCCTCCATAAGCCTCTGGGTTTTCTCCCCTCCCCACACTTCCACCAGGCTCTCTTCTGGAAGGGGCACACCCCAGGCTGCTGGCTTAGCGGCAGAGCACTCCGGGGTCCCCACACCTCCTCTAAACACACTTGGGGTGCTGCAGAACATCAGGCATAAAGATGGTTATGAGAAGCCATGGGAATCAAAGTGGAGCGTCTGACGTCGGCTCAGATCACAATCTCACGGTTTCGTGAGTTCAAGCCCCGCGCCAGGCTCTGTGCCGGCAGCTCGGAGCCTGGAGCCTGCTTCAGATTCTCTCTCTACCTCTCTTTCTTTCCCTCCCCTGCTCTCTCTCTCTCTAAATAAATAAAGTTAAAAACAAAAACAGAGTGTGGAGAGGCAAGGGGAGAGGACGTGCTCACAGGAGTGAACACAGACAGAGAGGGACCACCGAGCCCCAAAGGGGGCAGGTGCAGGCAGGGGGTGGAGGCGGCCCAACAGAGCCGTGGGAGAGCCGGGGAGGAAGCACTCCAGGAAGCATGGGCGCAACTGGCGGAAACAGAGACCTGCAGCAGCCTGGTCATGTCCCCACCCCCGCCGCGCCTGCCTGCTTTGTTAATCACCTGCTTTTGCTTCTTATCCGCCACCTCTCCGGGTCTGTGAGCTCCGAAGGGTGGATGAAGATGGGCCTTCATTACCACTGAGCCCTCAGCACAAACCCATGTACCCTGGAGATGTGCTGTGTAAACCAGAGCGGGCCAGGGCGAATCTAGGAAGGGCCTGGAAGCGGCCCCGGGAGCCCCTGGGTCCATGGAGAGCAGCACCAGCAGAGGGGGCATTAGAGGAGCAGGAAGCAGAGCGGGCAGAGGTAGCAGTGGGGAGGGGAGAGGCAGGCCCAGAGGAGCTGGGGTGGGGGGCGCGTGGAGGAGGGCGGCACTCAGTGTGCCCTGCCCTCTCCCAGCGGCTTACAGCCCCGGGCTGGCCCCGGACGCTGGAGGAAGCTCAGGAAGGCCAGCCCTGCCCGTGGGTGAGTGAGGCCTCGTCGGTGTGCTGTGCCACTCTGGGCCGCACAGTCAACTCTGACGGCCGGGGACTGGAGAGAGGCAGCCCCGGGGCGGGGCACAGGTCTGACAAGACAGAACCTCACCTTGGACACAGGCTGGGAGAGGTGAACATTGAAAGAAAATGACCAAAAGAAACAAAGTGGAAGCATTCTTCACGATAATGTGAAAATCCTTCTGGGGCGCCTGCGTGGCTCAGTCAGTTAAGCATCTGACTCTTGATTTCAGCGCAGGTCATGATCTCACAGTTTGTGAGATCGAGCCCCACATCAGGCTCTAACCTGCGTAGGATTCTTGCTTTCTCTGACCCTCCCCTACATGCTCTCTCTCTTTTTCTCTCTCAAACTAAAATAAACTTAAAAAAAGAAAAGAAAATTCTTCCAGAGTGCAGTTTTAAAGACACATCCTAAGGTGAAGGCGTTGTGTCCTTGTTGCGTTACATAATGACCATCCGTTTCTGGATGGACTCAGTCCTGAAGGCTCAGCAGCACTGTCCTGTGGGTGCTGCTGTCACAGTACGTCCCCATCTTCCCACCACACCGGTTCACACGACTGCCCGTCTACAGCATTCACCTTCCAAGTGAATCACCGTGGAAGACAGGAAGAAATACCACCTAACACAAATGCAGGTTTTTAACTGGGTAAAAATAATATGACAGTGCCTTTTCTCTCATTACAATGTTGAATTCATATCAAACCTGAGACTTTCCGGCCACATAACTCCTACAAATGCTCACTTTTCTTAACATCGGTTGACCTCGAATGGGAGAATTTATTTTGAAGCAGTATTTTAGGAATAAAAGGAATCACCAGTTGGGTATATAGCACGTGTTTCCCCAGCTCGGTGCCAGGATCTAAACAGCCTGATTGTCCCAGTGAGCTGGGAACACTGAAATAGATTTCCTCTCCTTGTGAGGAAATTACCATTTTCTTACCTTAGATAAGTCTGACCATCTGGTTTTTGCTTTGGTAACAAGATACTGATGGGCCTGCTCACGAGCGAGTTCTGAATCGGCGACCTTCTGTTTGGGTCTTAAAAAGAAAAAAAATAAATAAGTAACCGTGTTTAAATTTAATGGACTCATCAATCTCCCAAGGGGTTCCCCATCCCTGTTTGTTTCAAAGATACCGTTAAAGTCTGTTATTTCACATCTGGTCTAACTTAATTCTTAAAATACAGTCTTATTTCCCCAGCTGCATGTTAGAGAAGTCTTCTTAAATTTTATAAGTCCTGTTTATTTTCAGATAAATACTGTTCAACTTACTCTGCAGCTCACAAAACAAATGGGGCTCATTTAATCTCAGAAGGGGGGAAAAAAGCCCACGATAGAACAGTTAAGCGTCTTCAGAAGAAAACAACCAAAAACTTTTATTTCTGAATTTGCAGATTGGAATAATAATGCGGACTGACAAACGGTTAGGAAACAATAGGGAAACATCGCTTACTGGGTCCCAGCTACTGTTCGAAGGTTGGGCTCACAGGTATGGAAAATGACCAAAATTCTGTTTATTTCCTCATAGGGTGATGGGTGCACTTTAAAAAAATGCCCCGTGCTTACCTCTGAGGCTGGGTCTGGGATTCCTCCACTCTGGAGGGGGGGGGGGCGGGGGAGGGGAGGCGATAAAATCTATACAAACGTTCCCCCACTTCTTTCTCTGTAGTTATTTGGCTCCTAAGGGCACCTGTCCCTCCCTTTCCGGGAACTTGAGCTTTGTTCCACATCCAGACCTGCCCCTGAGCTATTTTCCCTGAAGATGCAAGAGCACGCAACACATTCCTCTGGCAAAACCATCACCCGACAGTTTTCTGAAATAGGATCGCATCCAAGACCCCCACCTGGAACGCACGTTTATTCACAGGCGCGTTGGGTGGTAAGCACATCTTGCTTAAGAGTGAAGAAGAGCGACACAGGACTGGGGCCCATAGACACCCCCATTTAAATTTCTCCTTAAGGGTCCCCAGAAAACCAGCTTGGGGGATGGACAGCAAGCAAGCCCTACGCAGCCCCTTTAAAGAAGTATTATTTATGCTTCTGCAAATGAACTGCATATAAGAAAAAAAAGCCTAAAATCAACCAGTGTGCAGCCAGTTGAGAAAATGCAGGGATTTGTGCGTTCTAGACGACGGAAGTCAAGGGTTTACGCGATCCCCCTAGAAGGGCCGCTTAGAACGTGACCCTCTGTATGTGGCACTGTGTGGGTTTCTCGGGTAGCGATGGCCACCACGAACTCAGTGACCAGTGGGTGCTGAGCACTGCCAGTCAGGTGACACGCAGAATCTGGAGTTTTCCCGGCAGCGCTGGCATTACCACCCCACTTTGCACAAGCGGAAGCTGTGTTCTCCGGAGATTTAGTAACAAATTACACAGCCGGTACCTGGGAGCCATTCAGACTTGGTTGCCTGATGCCACGGCTCTCGCCTTTCTCATGACCACTTTTGTTTTCATCTGAAGCTACGGGTTTGCTGTCCCTTTAACTCCACCATCCGTTAACTATCACACTTCAAAGAGGTGAGGGCCGCCTCTGGTTTCTACGCACCTGGGATCCTCTTTCCACTTAGCATTTCTGTTTCACCACAGCAAATGCAGCATTGACCGTTTGCGGCTAGAGCACCAGGCTCGGTGTGAAGGCTGGGAAAATGGAGCCTGCGGCTTTCGCGCACCAGACAAGGCTCCCCTGGACGTCCCGCTCTGGCATGCGTTTCCGAAGCAGACGGCCAGGTCACAGCGACCCCAATCAACAAAGCAAGCAGGAAAATTGCTCTTCGTGTGGCTTCTCCTTCTAACCCCTTCCAACAAACTCCGCTGCTCCCAGACAATGGTCCTGGGCCGTTCCTCAAGTTCCTTGGTGACTGACAGCGCACAGCGCCCTCTGGTCCCCAAGTGCATTGGTATCCATGATTACCCCAGAAACCCGCACTGGGCTATGCTGGGCCACATAGAAAGCGTCTTATTTTAAGCAGCGCCACTTTGGCGAATTACATAAACCGTGACTCCCGCAGTTTGGTGAACACAAATTCCTGCATTTACTCAGATGAGGACTTGCTGCAGGCTGGGTAGGGTGTCTTCCCTCTTCCTTCGTTACTGTTGAAACAGATCAAGTGAGGGCTTGCCCAGTTTCATTTTCCCTCCTGGAAAATGCCAGCTCGTGGGGGGACAGGGTGAACTATGGCTGGCACACCTCCCTTTATTGAGACCCTCACCCCAGCCTTGAAACTCACGAGTCTCTTCTCTATTGCTGAAACCAGGGGTCTTCACTGACTTCTCTGTCCCACATGCCCCTATCGGCCATCTCTCCCTGCTCTGGTTGCCTTCATCAGGCTGCCCGTTAAATGACACACGGGTTGGAATACGCATCCCGGGGCCAGGCAAAGGTGTGCCTCCCGTCAGTGTGATTTTCCCTCCCTCCCCAGCTCCCTCGACCCTTGACCACCCCTCTCTCTTTCCATCCTGAAGTTTATTTACTCTTCCGAGAGGTCAACCCTCTCATGTCCCCAACCACACTTGGATGCCATTTACCCCTACACCTGTACCACTAGTGCTATAATCGCCTCACCTACTTTTCCGTTCCATCTCTCTCCAACTGCCTACTGGACTTCACAGAATCATGGAACTTCAAGGGTGGAAAGGGATCCAAAGGTCCCCCAGTCTAATCTTCTGTCACCAGTTCACCACTAAACGTTTTGAAGGTTGGTGGGATTAGGTTGCATTTTCACAATTATTGCTTAAGAGGACTGTAGGCCCTGATACTGATGCATATCCCTCTGCCTTTACCTTGAGTTCCTCCTAAATCCAACCTGTACCCACAGGACTCACCTGAACTCCCCCAAAGGATGGAGATTCTGAGGGGAGTGTTGTGTGTCTGCAAAGTCAGCGTACCTAACTGATCTATTACCTAACCATGTCTAAACAGCCTCCACCAACCCAGTTTCTTTTCGAAGCCATAAATCTTGATTGTTTTCTTAGTGAGCCAGCCTCAAACCAGGGACTCCTATGATTTTCCCACCCATTTCTCCCCATCCCATTCTATCTACTTGTCTCTTCGAGAGAGGTCAGAAGATTTCTCTATGGCCTTTTCTAAAAGTTACTGATTCCCTCTATTGCCCAACTCTTTAGATCTTGATAGTCAAGCAGACTCAGCCATGTCATCAGCCAGTCTGTCAGAGACAAACATATACGACCTCTTACTCTGTGCTGCTCTGGGTTATGTCCACACTGACCAGAGATGTGGACAGAGGCCACATCCTCAAGGAGCTCATACCGTGATTGTGGGAACTTACAGCGAACACGTGGAAAAATAAATGAATCAGATAACTTCAGATACTGAATGTGACGAAGGGCGATGGGTGAGAGGGAAGGCTTCAGCTAAGAAGGTCAAGGAGAGGCTCTCTGAGGCATGAATGATGATGAGGCAGCTGTATGATCACAAGGACTAGCCTCCAGGCAGGGCAGGAGTCCTGAGATGCGCCTCTTGCCCCAGTTAAGATGGAGAAGGCATACTGCATCCTCTCTCCCCCACTGATTACAACTAAAAACTCTTGACAGAATATAAAAAGTAACTCTGAGGACACTAAAAAGTAATAGGAAGATGATGGAAGGGCTCCTGGGTGGCTCAGTCAGTTAAGCGTCCGACTTCAGCTCAGGTAGTGATCTCATGGCTTGTGGGTTCAAGCCCCATGTCAAGCTCTGTGGTGACAGCTAGCTCAGAGCCTGGAGCCTACTTTGAATTCTGTGTCTCCCTCTCTCTCTGCCCCTCCCCTGCTCATGCTCTGTCTCTCTCTCTCTCAAAAATAAATAAACATTAAAAAAAAGAAAGGACAATGGAGAGGGAAATGAAAACTTGAAGAATGGCTGATATAGTGTGAGTTTCATGGGTTCTTTACCACCCATATTCCCAGCTTGGGCTTAAGGACTGTCCTACTTCTGGAACTATGCAGTCGGCATGGGCCAAAAAAGCTCCAAAAGAAAGCCTGTTCTTCTGACCAAAGAACCAGGAAGGAAAGCCCTGAAGTACAAAGAATATGGGGGTAGAATGCCTCTTTTGTCTCTTTTCACCCTTCCTGTTCTGATCCAAGGACTCCAAGATACAAAACTACACTTCCATGACATAGCCAGCAACAGTAGTGGCCGAGTAAGTGCCTAAAACGAAAACTCCTCTCTTTCACCAGAGGACACACTCTGTGCACAAGTGTGAAGGCATCCACATTATCCACATTATTGTTTTCCTTTCCCTGTGTTGCCCTGGAGGTGGACCCAGTCATAGGAAGTACATAACAGTACAGATAGGCCCAAACCTAAGCGTTTCCAGCCAGAAGGCCAAAAGGGGGGGGGGGGTAAGGGGGGACCTCTCTCCAGGGGCTGGAAAGTGTGGGGAGAAATCATAGGAGAGGGCAGAAAAACAGGATGCCCAAATCTGTTCAGGAAGCTCCAGAGTCACTTCTGCTGTGCTCACGTGTGAAACTAACCCAAAGCAGCACAACAGAAGCCTTGAGAACTTGACTGCTGTGTAGTGAGGACTTTGAAGATTTGCCCTCCTCCCCTCCCACTGGCCTCATAGTGCTGCAGTGGCTGTGAAACTCAACTGACATGGAAACCACAGAAGGCAGGTCAAGACTTGCAGTCTGAACCTAACTGGATTGGTTGCCTAAAATATAAATAAATACAAATCAACACACAACTGAGGGTTTTACCTGGGCCAGAGTATCATAATATAACATTTTTTTAAAAGGTTTTATTTATTCTTGAGATAGAGATAGAGACGGCATGAGCAGGGGAGGGTCAGAGAGAGAGGGAGACACAGAATCTGAAGACAGGCTCTAGGCTCTGAGCTAGCTGTCAGCACAGAGCCTGACATGGGGCTCTCAAACCCATGAACTGTGAGATCATAACTGTGGACGCTTAACCAGCTGAGCCACCCAGGCGCCCCATTCATAATATAATATTTAAAAAGTCCATGATACAATCCAAAATAACTCAATATACAAAGAACCAGGAAAATCTCAACAATTTTCAAGGTAAAAGACAACAGACTCC